GATTATTTGGGTGTGCCTCAGTTCCCTCATTTTTGAAATGGAGACAATAATAGCACCTAATTTAAAAAAATAGTACCTGATTAGTCCTGGCTGGTGTAGCTCAGTGCATTGAGCACAGGCCTTCGAACCAGACAATCGCAGTTCAATTCCCAGTCAGGGCACATGCCTGGGTTGCAGGTCAGTTCCCAGCAGGGGACGCAGGAAAGGCAACCATACATTGATGTTTCTCCTCCTCTCTCCTTCCCTTCCCCTCTAAAGATAAATAAATAAAAATCTTAAAAAAAATAGTACCTGGTTAACATAATGGCTGTGCAGATGGAACGAGGTAATGCACACAAAGTACTCATTGCAGCGCCTGACTGGAGCAACCAATCAATGAACGGTAGGCGCTCCAGTGATCCCTATCTCCCATTCCTGGACCAGTGACCCAGGAGGCTGAAATTACTAAACACATAGCTTTGAGCTTGTGGGACAGCTTTGTGGCTTACTGTCTGTGTGACCCTGGGCAAGTTAGTTATCTTTTACTGTCTATCTCTGTGTTCTGGTTTCCTCACTCACAGTGAGGATATGAAAGTATCTACCACAGCATGTCGTAACTATTAAACATGACAATGTCAGCTGAATGTTAATTCTTCTGCTGATTATTACTACAACGTTATAATGTATTATCTGTCTGTGTGTGTTGTAGCCCTTCTTATTATCTTTCCCCCCAAAATTTTATGGGAGTGTCAATCATTCACAGCCTGGTCTACCGTGCATGAATGAAATAGCATCTCTGTGAAGCTGATGCCTAGCTCCCAGTCTGTGCTGGACGTTGCCGCAACCAGTGAGGTTTTTTGTTTTTTTTTAAAATATTTATTTATTTATTTATCTTTAGAGGAGAAGGAGAGAGGGAGAGAAACATCAATGTATGGTTGCCTCTAATGCGTCCCCCGCTGGGAGCTGGCCTGCAGGGAACTTGCTTGCAACCCAGGCATGTGCCCTGACTGGGAATTGAACTGCGATCCTCTGGTTCGCAGGCCAGTGCTCAATCCACTGAGCTATACCAGCCAGGGCTACCAGTGAGGTTTTGAGTGAGCGACCGGTAGGATGTAAGAGGGCAGGGGAAAGGCCTGGGGGTGGGGCTTTGAAGTTCATATAGCAGGTTTTAAAAAATGTTTTTTTTCTGTTTTAATTTTTACTTCAACAAAAAAATTTGCATAGTTTAAAAAGCCAACCAGCTCTACAAGGCATTTCCTGAACACAACACCCCGCCGCACACTCCCACCCCGCACACCCCTCCTGCGTAAAGCACTCACACATTCCCTGGCTCTGCTTCTGGTGCTCGCTTCTGTGTTTCTAAATAACCTGCTTATGTTATTACTTCTTGATATGTTAGATGTAACCAACTCACTGTCTGCCATGGAAGACGAGGGTATAGTTACCTTTAATCCTGCTCTCCCAATGTGCTCCCCACCCCATCCTCTGAATTAAAACATATTCCAAGTTTTGGTTAAATCAGTACTCACTCAGTGTTTACATTATTATGTCTGTGAAAATATTCTTCACAGCTGAGCTATGTAGTGTTTGTACTAAGACTCTGCAAATCTGTAAAAACTGCTTTTATTAACATAAGGGACATGAAGCTGCGAAACTGCGTTCTCCAAAATCACAGTCACAAACTTTGCTATTTGAAGTCCATTGGTGAGGGCAGGAGCTGCACTCCTGCCCAGAGGCCTGAGCCGTGTGGGTCACTTTGATACAAAGAAGCATCCCTGAATGCTTCTTTGTGTCAAAACTTCAGATAATGGGGTTTTGGACACAACAGTAGATTTATCTTAATTATGTAGTTATCTGTTACATAATTACCTAAAATTAATTATCTCAATTTTGTAGTTTCCAAGTGGACCCCTAGTCCGCTTCTCAGCCCAGCCTTGCTGTTGATCCCCTCACTTACATCGTGTTTACCTCGAACCTATCAAAACACTGCTTCATTTAAATATTACCTGAATTCCACCTTTCCCATGTCCTGTAGTGACCCTGATTTTTCCTTTGATGAGCTGCTCCATATGGTTCCTCTGGTTTGTGTTCTTTCTTGCAGCAACAAGTTAATAAACCTGTCTCTGTTCAACACACAGTTATGTTTCTGCTGGTCTTTCCCAGAAAAGGGGAAGGAATTCTCTTTCCTTTTATGACTCTTTGTTTTCCCTAAAGTTGGTAATTGCCTGACCTTTTCTGTTACTTCGTTTTCTAAATACCTATCATGAATTCACCCCCCAAACTCTTTGAAAGATGTGTACACCTTCTCTCAATGCCTTAAGCACATCAGGTAATTCCCTGGTCCCACACTTTTTCCCTTAAAGACACCTCTTGTCACTCCTTGTCCCCTGACTCCAAGCAGTCTGGTTTCTCCTCTCATTTCTTTTAAAAAATATGACAACATACCTTGGCTGGTGCAGCTTGGTTTGTTGGTACATTGTCCCATGGACCAAAAGGTTGCGGGTTCCATTCCTGGTTAGGGCGCATACCTTGGTTGCTGATCAATCCCATCGGGTTGCGCATGAGAAGGCAACCCAAGCAATGTTTCTCTTTCACATCAACATTTCCACATCTTCCCTTCTCTCTCTAAAAGCAATGGGGAAAAAAGTCCTCAAGCGAAGATAAAAAATAATAATTAAAAATGTGACAACCTTCTCACCGCAGCTGGCCTGCACTCCTCATTCCCTGCTTCTCTGCTCCTCACGCCCTCTCAGATGGCCATGGAAGAGGAGACCACCACACTCCTCATCGACAATGGCTCTGGTATATAAGTGCGAAGCTGGCTTTGCTGGCGACGATGCTTCCTGGGTCATGTTCTCGCTTCCGTCCTTGGAGCATCCCTGACATGGGGCAGAAGAGTACTTGTGTAAGTGACAAGGTCCAGAACAAGCATGGCATCTTGACCCTGAAGTACCCAATTGAGCACAGCACAGTCACCAACTGGAACAACATGGAGAAAGTCTAGCACCACACCTTCCACAAAAGCTGTGGCCTGTGAGGATCACCCAATGCTGCTGACTGGGGCCCCCCTGAACTCCAAAGCCAACCATGAGAAGATGACTCAGCTCATAATTTTTTAAATTGTTTTTGAGCTTCCACACTCTTGCCATGTACGTGGCCATCCAGGCTGTGCTGCTCCTCCGTGTATACCTCTGGCCACTGAATGAACTCTAGGGATGGGGTTACCCACACTGTACCCATCTACAAGGGCTACACCCTCCCCCATGCCATCCTGCATCTGAACCTGGCTGGCTGGGACCCGACAGACTACCTCATGAAGATCCTCAGAGAGCAAGGTTACATCTTCTCCACCATCACTGAGCAGGAAGTTGTGGATGACATCAAGGAAAAGCTCTGCTCTGTCACCCTGGACTTCAAATAGAAAATGGCCACTGCCTCCTCCTCCTCCCTGGACAAGAGTTAAGAGCTGCCTGATAGGCAGCTGATCACCATTGGCAGTGAGCGGTGCCAGTGTCCAGAGGTGCTCTTCCAGCCCTCCCTCCTGGTATGGAGTCTGCGGCATCCACCAGACAACATTTAACTCCATCCTGAAGTGTGAAATCGACATCCGAAAGGACCAGTATGCCAACACAGTGATGTCTGGTGGGACCACCATGTATCCAGGCATCACCAACAGGGTGCAGAAGGGCATCACAGCCCTGGCTCCCAGCACGATGAAGGTCAAGACCTGCCCTGCTGGAACTCAAGTAATTGGTGTGGATTGGCAGCTCTATCCTGGCGTCGCTGTCCACCTCCCAGCAGGTGTGGATCAGTCAGCACAGTAAGATGAGTTGGGCCCCTCTATTGTCCACTGCAAATGGACACATTCTAAATTTAGGCACATTCTAAATTCCATTCTAAATGGAATGTGGGCAGATCTGTAGTATTTGCTGCATGAGTTGATCAAGTGTAAGTTCGCCCTGGCAAATGTACACATCTCGTGCTGATCTTGTGAAACTGGAATAAACCTTCGAAAAGAAATTGTTCTTCAGGCTTGTATCTGATCTCAGCACTGGACTATAGACCTGGTTGCTGATTTTGACCTTGTATTCCAATTAACTGTTCCCTTGGTGTATGTTTAATACCCTGTACACATCTTTGATTTAAACCCCTGTACATGCTGTTGGTCACTTGGTGGCCTAAACAAGAACATACTTCTGCAAGAGAAATCCAGTGGCTTGATGAGAATCCACAAGACTGGTTCCCTATGGGTATTAACATGAGGGAGCTGCCTATTCTAAGATTTTTCTAGAGGCTGGCAGCAGTCTTGAACCAGTTGTCATTTCTGTCCTGCCAGTCTGACAGGTTTGGGAGGGTCCCAGCATCAGGACTCATTTTCCTTTCTTAGCCGATGTTTCCTACCAGAACATCTGTGTTGTTACTTGCCTTGCGTTGGAAATCGGGTTGCATTTCCACCTGCAAATTTATTCATCCTTTTAATTTATGTAAGGTTTTTGTACACAATTCTCAATTCTTTAAGAGATGACATATTTTGTTTTTCTACTCTCATATGTGAGAACATTAGGCCTTAGCAACATGTCATTGTGAGGAAAATAAAGTGCTATCGTAAAAAAAAAAGACAACCTTTGTTCTAACACCTATCTGAAAGCATCACGGTTAGTTGTCAATGCTTCCGTCTTCCTGACTCCTTTTTCCCCCCTCCTCCTCCCGGGAGGGGCCGAGTGTCTCGACATCTTTATTTCTCCAAAGTTTTCCAAGGCGCTCAATGTACGAACGAACGAATGAATAAGTGAATGAACGAAAGGGATTTTTGTGCATAAGTGACATTTAAGAAGAACCATATCGCAAGGTTTAAGGGTGGCTTCCTCTATGCCACCGAAGGAGAGAAGAGAAGCAGCACCGAAGCCCCAGGCGACCCAAGGTGCAGTTTGCTAAGCACCGACTGAACTCCGCTGAGGGGAAGACCGCTGCACAGCCCTGCTGGCGTCACGAGGCGGACTTCATTTCCCAGAAAGCAGCGCAAAGGCGGAGCGCGAAACCGGGAGAGTGCCGCACGTGACGTCAGAGCCACGCACAACCGGGAAACGCGAGGCAGAGGTACGTGTAGGTTGAGGGCTGAATGGACAGGGCGGAGGGTGAAACTGCTGCACGGCCATGAGCCTAAGTGAGATGGAATGGGCTGGTGAGGAAGAAGAACAGAAGGGTCTCAAATGAAGTGGGGATCGCGAGGTTGAAAGATCTCCAGCTCCGCCTTCTCTTCCCGCAGCAACCATGACGAAATTAGCTCAGTGGCTTTGGGCACTGGCTGTCCTGGGCTCCGCCTGGGCAGCTCTGACCACTGGGGCCCTAGGCTTGGAGCTGCCTTCATCCTGCCGGGAGGTCCTGTGGCCACTGCCTGCCTATTTGTTGGTGTCTGCTGGCTGCTATGCACTGGGCACTGTGGGCTATCGTGTGGCAACTTTTCACGACTGCGAGGATGCCGCCCGGGAGCTGCAGAGCCAGATCCAAGAGGCCAGAGCCGACTTATCCCGCAGGGGGATGCGCTTCTGACACCCTGACCCCATTCCCGCTGGACCGCCCCTCCCTCCCATACCCCATTAAACAGTAGCAAGTTTACTAACTTTGTGTAGTATGATGGAGAATGGGAATTGGGGATTGTGTGTAACGACTGTTGAGAAGTGAGAGGCCAACAAGCCACCTTCTTTTGAGCCTTTATCTTTGCATCCTGCCGGTGTTCCTCCTGTTTATTTCAAAGGAGGCGAGGGCCCCTTCTCAGGATCTAAGGATGGAAATGTTACACTTCTCTGGTCCTTTTAAGCCTGTCAGGAAGTACTTCTTGAAGCCTAACTTACTCTTCTTCATAACATCCAAGCTCTGTCCTTGCCAAGGCCTTCCTTATCTTTCCTAGGTGGCCCTGGTTCTCTTAGATGCCTTTCCTGAGCCAGCCCTCCCAGCCCAGGGATGACTCTGACCATGCAGTGCACCTTTGCCCTTCACCAAACCAGGCAGGCTGAGAATCACTGAATAGAGAATGAGCTTCGATGGGCAGGGATAGAGAACAGTTTATTTTAAGGCACATTCTAAAGATTTCACCCCCAGCCTCCAAGATTAAAAAAATATAATCTCTAAAAAATAAGTGCTTTGTCTCCCAGGTCTCATCCAGTCTTCTAAGTAAAGCTTTTTCTTTGATCCCAGATTCTCAAAGTTCTCTCTTTTTCTTTCCCATAACCCATGGCACTTGTAGAACTGGTCAGCTGGAACAGTGGAAACAGGTTGGTCTGAACCTCTTTGGTAAGAAGTTGGCACTAAGGTGCCCTGTGGTCAGGTGAACTGCCTCAGGTTTGTAGGAGCTGACAGTTCCTGTCTTGCTCCTGAGGGTACTTCCAGAAAAGCCAGAGGCGAATGAGGCTGGTGGGGATTCCTGGAAGGTTGGGCACCTGAAATCCCAAGGGCTGAGATGAGAAGAGGAGCTACTTTTCCACTTTGCACATCTGTCACCCTGTCCCTGCCCTGCTTACCATGATATAGGGGTCTCTGAGCCGAAACCCATAGAGAGTCCAGGAGGCAGAGGTGAGGAGGGTGGCAATGGTCAGTGAGAAAGACAGACGCTGGGTTGATTTAGTCTGAATAACTTTGGCCTGGGGGAATGGATGTAAGACAATCCTAGCCCAGACGCAGTAAAGTTCCTACCTTGCCTAATAATTTCCTTAGGAAAAAGGTCAAATATCCTCTCTGGTTTTTTGTTACCCAACCTTTCCCTCCTGCCTCCCATTCATCCACCTTTTTTGCCCTGTCTCCTTCCAGGATTTGAATCTTCCCTTCCTCTGGAGCGTAAGCTACAGTCTCTGGCTGTGGGACCCGACCCTTCTTATCTCCCCCACTCACCAAATCAGTCAGTGGCGACAGGTACATACTGATGGTGAAGACACTGCAGAAGAGGCCCAGCTGCTGAAGCCTGGCCTCAATGCTGGGCACCAGGAGCCAAAAGTAGCCAAAACCCAGGAGCAGGACCCCCAGCAGGGCTGCTGTCTGTAGGAGCACAGCATGCTGCAGGGGAGAGAATAGCCTGACTTCTACATGTGCCAAGAGCCCTCTCTGATCCCTTCCGGAATTCACTCATTCATGCAATAGAGGAGCCACTCTGTCCAGACCCAGTACTGCACTTGTCACAGCCTTTTCCCCACCAGTGACTTGATCCACCCACAACATTGGAGGTTTCTAGGACAGGGAGAGATATCTTTTGGGGGGAGCTTGGTATACACAAGAGGAGCTTAATAAATGCTTGTATAATTGAATGGGGAAACAGCTAATCATCTCACTCTCAGCCACTGGCCCTGGTTCTGAAGGAACCATGGGAGATAAAAGCACCTTCCCTCAACTTATTGGGCAGCAAGGAGGCCCCATCAGAGTAAGCAGAGCTATCAGCCTTGCCAGAAAGGGGGCCATATGTGAGTATCAGAAGGCTGGCATTGAGGAGGAAGGAGGACTGCAATGCTGGAGGGGCCTTCCAGGAAAAGTTGATAGTGCCAGCCTGTTACAGTCTTCTAGGAAGTACTGCTTGCCCTGCCAGCAAGCAGGACATGCTGCAGAAGAGGTGAGTGCAAAGGAGGGTCCCTACCTTCCGAGGGCAGTACTGCAGATACACCAAGATATATGAGGTCTGAAGCACAGCACCCACAGCGTTGACAACGATTAGAGTCCCATCTCTCTTCAAGGTCCCATAACTCAGCCAGCTCAGGTTGCTGCAGGGTGGAGGGGAGAGACATTCGCCATGGGGATGAGTGTAGGAGGGGAACCCGAGGGGTCTCTTCCACGGCCCTCACCCCACCCTACCCGGTCAGTCTTTCCACTCAGCTTTCCCCCTCTCACTTGACATCCGTGGTGAGAAAGGGCAGGAACTGGACATTATCCACTCGCCGGGTCATCCGCATGTGCCTGAGGTCGGAGCTGTAACGGGGCTGAGAAGACAGTTATGACGGGAAGGGAGAACCAGGCTACTGGGGATTGGAGACCCCTAATGCCTGTCATCCTCCCCTAACGACTGCACACCCCCGGGCCCGTTCTCAGCTCCCTTGCCTTTTTCAGATCAAGTGACCAGCCTTGCTCCCCGTTCCCTTCGACCCGACTCCACTTTGATCCCAGGTGCCGGAAGCAGCCTGGGGCTGCAGCCACATCTCCATCCCCTCTCGCTCCTTCCCTGACTTTCTGGTCCTGCCCTATCCCGGCCCGGCCCGGCAGCGCTCTCACAGGCCGGTGGAGAACATGCCGAGGGTGAAAAGCACGCAAGCTCCAGAAAGGAGCGTGTCCGCCACGCCGCCGGTCTCCATTCCTCTCAAAGCAGACTCCCAGCGCCGCGGGGCAGCCCAGCTGGTGGCAGCCCGCGTCGCCGGAGCCCCGCCCCTCCACGTCCCGGCCCCACACGCTCGGCGTCCCCCGGAAACTGAACCGGAACCCGACCTAGGACGTAGGGAGGGACTCAGGCCCCGCCCACAGCCTGTGGCCGTGGCCAACTTCCCTGAGCTGACGTCTTGTTCCAGGTCTCTGTAGGTCAGCTTCCTGGGGCTCCTCGGACTTGCCCCGGTACCTTTAGCTTACCGCTCTCTGCTTACCCCTTAGATTACCTAGACCGCCCTCAGCCTCAACTCTCCCACAGGTCCACCCGCGAGCCTAGTGGTGGATCTCAGAACAAAAGCTTGCTGGATCCAACCAGACTTCAACCCCCTTTCCACCCGCTCCAGATCAGAACCTCGTTGGCCCAGGATTTGGGAGGGTTTTTCATCCCAGTATCCTGAAGCCTCTTCCCAGTCTCTCTCCTAAATTACAAGGATTGCCAGAAATGACCAGTTCTGTCAGGTGTCCTCCCCATTCAGCCACACCATCAACTTGGCCGGTCCACTGAAGCACCTAAGCACTTTGATGACCTCTTAGTCCCACCTGACTCATAGCTGGGAAGTTCCCATCCCAGATTCCCACGTGTCTTGGTGGATCAGGGCGATGCCTCAACTAGTGTTCCTGTGAGGACTGCCCTGACCCACCCAACATTATGAGCACCTGCATGGTATGCGAAAACCCAAAGCCCAGCGCTGCAAGGGTGGGAATGGGGCAGAGGTGTCACGGAAAGAACTTCCAGAGTGGGGTTAGCCTAAAATCAGAGACTGTGTGGCTGTAACAGGGTGCAGCCAGGGGGACCCCCAAAGAGGGATTTGTAATGGAGTCCAGAACTCAAAGTGTCCAGGAAAACAATATGTATGATGGCCTTATTCCCACAAGTCTGAACTGGGGGATGGGACACATGGAGCAGGCCTATTGAGAATTCTGCATAGCAACAGTTTTGCAACTAACCTCAGGCGTGGTCATTTAATGTATCTATAACTTTTAACTGGTTTTGTAGACATGTTAAATAGCTGTGGCCACACTTTGAACCCAGGAGATGGGAGTGACTTCCACCCAGGATATAACTGGGAGGCAACTCCCCCTGGTTACAGTGCCTTCGTGAGAGCTTGGAGATGATTGGCTCCATGCTATGGGGCCACACCTGCCCAGACTATTATGAAAGCCCAGAAAAGCTAGAAAAATACAAGCTGGCAGGTGTAGCCAATTGTGGGAAGAGTTGGAAATGGGGCTGCAGAAGATTGGAGCTGGGATTGAAACCCAGAGATGGCAGCCATACAAGAAGATTGGAGCTGGGATTGAAACCCAGAGAGGGGACTGTGTGGCTTTGGCAAGGAAGTGGGGAACCATGCAGCTTTGTGGCTGCCTTTGCCACTCAGCTTAGGAAGCCAGAAAGCAAGATGTAGAAGCGATGCAGAGCTCTCCCTTAGCAGTTTGGAATAATGTAGGAGAGATGCTACAGAAAGGAAAGGGGTGAAAGGACTCTTGCTGGTGGGCCAGAAGGTGCCACTCGGATTGGGATTAAGAACTGGAGATCCCAGCGACACGCCTGATAGTGCTAGGAACTTCGGGGGGCCAGCCAGCAAAGCGTGGGTTACTGGAAAGAACCAGGGGCCACCTGAGCCACAGACCTCTATTTCTTTTCCAAGATATGGTACCCAAGACTGGGCAGGGGGAGAAGGACTGTGTGCATTTGTGGGTATTTTAAGGGACTCTGGGACCTTAATGAAGACATTAAGTCATTACTTTAAGTCTGTACAACTTTTGGAATAAATAATTCCTTTCCTTTTCCCCAATCTCTGACATTGAGACCTATAATTTCCTGGCAGTGTCCAAGGTGAACTTAGTACAGGGGGACCTCAGGAGAAGGGGGAGTCCATTCGATAATAGTATATCATTCCCCACCTCCATGGGTCCATTCTGTAACATTAAGGGTTAGTGAGGGGTAAGAATTCTTTCCAGAGAGGGAAAAATAGTCAAACCCAGTTGCTACTGGCATCTCCCACAACAGGAACTCAACGGTTGTAAGTTAGTATGGAGAAACAGAAGAGCGTGTACAAAAAACAGGTTTATTTTCAGACAACATTGTATAAAAAAGAACCAGTTATAGAAATCAGCAAAGACACACAGCAAATTTATATACAGATCCTGTACATGCGGGCCCTGCCCTAATAGCTCCCCTCGAGGAATAGGCTGGTACAGCCCCCCGTTGGCACAGCCCTGGGGAGCGCTGCCCCAGGATCAAAGATGCTGGGTCAGCCCAAGCATACCACCTCTCCAGTCCCTGTCTCCCGGGCAAGAAACCGTCTCTTGCTTTTCCTTCAGTCAGCTCGTCTTGGCTTCCCGGCTCTCTGTGGGAGGGGCATCTTTGCCAAGCTCAGTTTCCACCCACCTGATACCAGACCGCCCCTCCAGCTCCCACAGTGTCCTTCTTAAGAGTCCAGCTTATTTTTGCACAGCTTGTTTTTTTGGCTTAAGGGCAGGAATGGCAGGGGAAGTACCATCCCCACTTTGTCCGTCCCTCCGAAGTGGAGGCAGGGACGGCCCTACCAGGTTTGCCCACTTCGTTTGGGTTAAAACCCTTAATACTGTCTCATTTTGAGGCTGCTGGGTGGCAGCTTATACATGTGGTGGGATGGTTCCCAGGACTGGGGCTTTGGGAGAGACCCCAGGCCAGGTGAGGGGTGCCTGCCTCTGCCTCCTCAGCCCAGTTTCAACCCTCAGGCCAGATGTGGCATACAGCTTCACGGGGTTTGCAGTGGCAGAAACGGTAGGAGCAGCACAGCCCAGGCAAGTGGGAAGAGGCGGGGGGCGGCACTGTGACCGATGCTATGTAGAACTTGCACTTCTGGGTCATCTGCAAGGTGGAAGGGCAAAGGCTACCAGGTGAGCAGGCCCATTACTGACACTGGCCCTCAGTCCAACAAGGTTGCCCCAGCCCCTGCCTGGCAAAGGAGCCACCTCCTGTACCCAACCCCTTAAAGCAGGCCCTCTTGTTTGCCCCAGGCCCAATTTGCTCCAGCTACTTACCTGCTGGAAGTCTCTTCTCCTGTGGATTGGCATGGGCCTGAGGACTGTGTGCTAAAAGACAGGGGTAGCCGTAGATCAGGTACTGTACCAGGGAGGCGGAAGGGTGGGAGTGCTGGCTGGGCCAGGCAGCGGAACTTCCCTACCATCCCACGTCATTAGGCCCAGCATAGGGATGGCGGAAGGAGGCCCACAGAGCCCCGACACTCACTGATTTTGCCATTGACGGTCACCTTCAACCTCAAGCAGTAGTCTTCTTGGTGGTGGATGGGTTTGGCTGCAAGATGTACCCACAGGGTATTAAAGAAGGGGAAGGAAACTTTGTTGAAAGAAAACAGAATGCAAATGCCTCTGGCCCTGCTTTCTCAGTCCCTGCTCATTGGAATCACTTTCTTCCAAGCCTGGATTCTTCCCTTCCTCAGGTTTTGCCCACTTTCTGTCCCGTGTTCAGTCCAACCTTCTTCTTTGGAGATGGCGGCAAAAAGAACATAGCCACTGTCCCCTCCCCAGAGTCCCTCCTTCACTCCTAGCTGATATTTGGGAAGATGTGCACAATCTGCTCCCCCTCCCCAGCCATTCTGTACCCCCCCCCAAACCCAGGCACATCGAAAGGGTGAGGCCTGGATGCGTTCTATGCAAAGCTGATCTTATGAGTAAACCCACCAGTGGCTCTCCGCTGCCCTCGGGGTAAACTCCTTCGCACTTCTAGGTCCCCGTGATCTGCCCTGTCCACCTCTCCAAGCTTCTATCTCCCCACTGCAAAGTGTCCCTCCTACTCTAGCCAGGCTAACCATATGGAGTTCCCTGAAGATGTCATGTTCCCTTTGCACATGTCCCTTCATTTATGGCTAAATCCTCTGCTCGTCCTAAGCTCTGGGAAGCCAGGAAGCCTTCTCTGAAGCCCGCCAATCTGGAACGTCCCAAGGTCATGTTTCCAGGGCCCCTGTGCTCACTCATGCCTACCATAGTGCACTATGGTGCACTACTGGTCTGTTAACCAATGCGTGTCTTTTCCCAGCTTCCTTGAGGACTGGAACCCTGTAGTGTTTTATTTCTCTTTGTGCCTATACAGCCAAGCAGTGTTCCCAGAATGCAGCAGAAGCTCACTCCACATTTGTTGTGTGAATGAATGAAAACAGAACCCAGGATTGGAGGCCCTCTGCTGCTTGACTCCCCACTGAGCACGCTCTCAGGCACACGCATCATGGTGGCTCCATCCCCCAGCTCGGCACCTCCTCCTGTGCCCCCGGGGCACTCACAGATGTAGTAGTAGCTGTGTCCCTCTTTGAACTCCTTGCCCAGGGTGAAGGGCGTGTAGCGCAGGAACTTCTCGGACAGCTTCTCTGGACCGTGCCTGGCATTGGGGTGGTTGCACTGCCAGCGGACCTGGTTCTTGGATTCAGGCTGGCACACCTGGTACTGCTCTAGCTCTACCAGGTACAGTGTGTACTGCTCCATGGCAGCAGCTGCCACAGAGTCATCCTCGTAATGGGGGCAGATGATGTCCAGGTAGTCATTTAGCTGCACGTGTACTGTGTACCCTTCACTCCGGAACCTGCACGTGCATGTACACAGAGGGGAAGGAAGCAAACAGTCACCCAGAAGCCAGACCAGAGCCTTGTCTCCAGAGGTTTACATGACCTCTCACATTTCACACTGGACCCACACGCACAGATGGTGTGACAATCTCAACTCCTGATATTACCGATCTTGATCCAAATATCTTTCCACCACCTCCAAATATCCCCCCACCCTCATTGTTTCCTATAATTCAATAAACTCCACCCACTTAGTATCTTTCAGATAACAAAACACTTTCCATACATTTAACACCCCTGATATTTACCCAAGGATGAGCTTCTAAATATTTCCTTAGCTCACTCACCATTCTCTCCTGCCCATACATATTTCCCCAAACCTATTCTACCAGGTGTTCCTTCACATGCTGTTAGAGCTCAGTCTGAGCCCCTACTGGCTCATTCTATTATCAGGGTCCAAGTGAGCCTTTCTCTTCAGCAGGCTGGCACTCGGCGCGAACACATGCGAGGTCTTCATTGCACTCACTCCTTTCATTCTCGCCCCCCACCACCCACTGAGTCTGCCTCACATTTCTCTGCTTCCTTTTCTCCCAAGCCCCCAGTACACCCAGGCCCACAGATAATGCCTGAATCCTTTAGGTGAAATCCCTATCATCAATCCACTCATTCCCCTCAAATCTTCCCTTCTAGCTACTCAAAATGATGCTCAGTTCTCCTCAAGGTACCCCAAAACATCACTGTCCCTTTATTTCCACAAGCTACACATTTAGCTGTGAAGTGAGCTCCAGAAATGCAGTTCTAAGATCTCAGGCTGCCTACCCCCTCCTCCCAAGGTGGAGCTAGCTCCCTTCCCCCAGCCCATTCCCTCCAGGCTCCACAGGCTCCACAGGCTCCAGCCTGACGGCCCCCCAACTCCTCCCCCCAGCTCCAGACACCTGGCTCCAGTCTGGGTGGGGTCCTAGTAGGGGGAAAAGTGCCTCACCACCTCCCTCTCCAAGTTGGTCAGCCTCTCTGAATTCCCCCGAGCACTGCCAGCTAGACACTCAGCATGGTTGGCTGCCAACTCGCTACAAACCAAAGCCCTTGGGCATGGGTGATGGGAGAAGGGGCAGGAATTAGGCTTAAAGGCCTCGGGTGGGCACCCACTGCCCAGTCAGCATGACTTCTAACCTGGCCTTGCAGCAAGCCAGTTCTGCAGTTAGGCTTACCAGCACCCCTCCCCCACCCCGGGGAAGAGAGAGGGAGAGAGAGGGGCGGGAGGGAGGGAGAGAGAGAAGCAGAGAGAGAGAGAGAGAGAAGCAGAGAGAGGCTTTTAAAATTCCTCTCTGGAGAGATAAACACAGAAGCCATTTCAAAACAGGTATTTCAGCTCTGGGCCTGGCATCTTTCCCCCATTCCAGTGACGGGCACTGACTCATTCCTCATCCACCTCTGCCACCCGCCCCAGCATTCATGAAAGCCTGTGAAAATTCACCTTGTCGAATGTGGACCCGTAGGTCCCCAGGGTAGCACAGTGTCCACTAGCCCAGGATACTGTCCTCCAGGCAAAAGGAGCTGGCGGGTCTGAATGGGCACAGTACTTGCTCCTCCAGCACCAAGGAGACCAGTTCCCGGCTCGGCTCGCAGTGGTACCACCCTTCTTCCCACGCTGCCTCCCCTAAGATCACGGGGCAGATGCCCACTACCCTGAGTCACCCAGGCCAGCCTCACGGACCCGCCCAACTCATTGCCACTTCATCTTTGGCCCCTAGCTGTGCCCAGCATGGCTGCCTGTGGACTCCACTCTGAGTTGGCTTCCCTTTAGTCCTGGGTATGGTTAGGTGTGGCTAGATGAACAGGGCCGAAGCTCTGCTTGGTGAAGGCACCCATCAGCCCCTTCCTGGGGTATAATCTGCTCCATTTAGGGTCCTTTTGACTCTTGCTCTGCCTTTGGGAAAGGGGGGCAGTGGCGTCAGGGAAGGCGGAGAAGGGGGCGCGGAAGAGGCTCCTTCCTGAAAGAGAGGAAACCTGGGAGCTTGGGAACGGAAAGGCCAGGGTTCCCCCTCCGTATTCACGGCTTCCTGTCCCCTCCTCCTCCTTCAGCCAACACCTGGCATGGGCATAAACAGGGACTTTGCTCTCTCTCACTAGGACAAAATTGGGTTCAGGAAGCAAAGAGCAGGCAGCAAGGAGTGGGGTGGGGGAGGGCTGACTGGGCTGCCCCTTTCAACCAGGGCAAGAGGGCACTGCCCCCTGGGTTGGCAGCTGGCTGTTCTCTGCCCCCCCCCGGCCCCCCGAGCGTCCCACAGACACAGACCCCTTACCAGGCAACGCGCTGCGACAGTGTCAGAGGGAGCTGGCGCCGTGTATTTGTCAATTGGGGTGAGGGGCAGGCACACTCGTGCTGGGGGTGGCAGCTGAGTGTAGTGTTTTTCCTGACCCCAAGCTGTCCAGCCCTCCTGTCCATTCTTCTTCGTAACCCCCTCTCGTCTTTCCACAAATACTGTTCCCTTAACCTCAGAAACTCAAGGCCAAGAACAAAGAGTCCCACGGAGCTTCTTATATCCAGGACCATTTGCCTCACAGCCTTAAACCTGCCCAGGAGAAATTAACCCCTTTCTGCCCAGAACCCTTTGTAACTCTTTAACCCCTTCCTTCCCTTCTGAACCTTTCCCATGACCCCCCTCCCCCGTATCTTCAGTTTCACTACGTGATCCCCACAAACAGGTGACCCCACAAACAGGTGACACCTTAGCCTGCTCACACACAGCAATGTGCCTTGCTCATTGGGGTGGGGGGCTTTCCACAGTCACTTTAAACGCAGAATGAATGCTTATCACCCGAAGCCCAGGGTCCTCCTGAGAGGTCCTTCTGGGATGACAGTGAGCACTCTCCTTACTCCAGATGTCACATCAGGTACCTGTCAGTGTGGGCAGGTGCCCAAGTGCCAGACAAGGAGAGGCACAGGGGCTTTCTTGGTGGGAGGACCTACAAGGGCCGTGGTGGCCAAGGAGGGTGGTCCGGGCTGGGGCCAGGGACTGCTCAGCACTGGCTCCTCACTTCGGAGGAGCAGAGGTGCCAGAGGGAAAGGAAGGAGGGGCAGAGCCAGGGCCCGTGCAAGCAGACACAGGCAGGTACCTAGCCTGGTGTGGCCTACTCCCAGTCAGGGGCGAGAAGCGAGGGGAAGAACATCCAAGGAATCCCTCCCACCTCTGGTCACCTCCCTAAGACTCCAGTCGGGGCGGGCCTGGACAGTTAACCTAGCATGGTGGGGGACACTGCCAACCGAACGCCCAGGCTGCTGGCCGGAGACTCGGGGCTTACTTGGGGTTTGAACTGTTCCAGAAGACGGTGTGGCGGTCGGCGGCAGCCAGACTGTAGCAGAGACCCAGGAGAGGGGCCCAGAGGAACTCCATAGCGCGGGGCCTGTTTAGGCCGGGCGAGGACGAGGGGCTCGTGGTGGGGTCTGCGTTCCCGCAGGCGTCCTCCGAGGCGCAGTCGGCACAGCGCTCCCTGATCTGGCTCTCGCGCCTGTGGACTCCGCCTTTTGGGTCAGGGACGCCCCACACCTCGCTCCGCCCCCCGCCCCGCCCCGCGAGCTGCTGCCCTGGGGCTTGGGGGCTGGGGAGGTGGAGGAGGGATGCGCAGGGGAGGGGAGCCGAACGCGCGACCTGGCCTAGGCGGAGCGGCTCGGCGCTGCGCGATCGCTCTCCTGAGGGTCCGCGTGTCGCTTTTTGTGTTGTGCGGGGCGCTGGGTCTGTGTTCCCCCGCGCAGTCGCGTGCGGCAGAGAGACACCAACTCTACCAGCAGCTCTGTGAACACGCGGTAGCGAGATCCCACTTTTCCTCGTGGGTCTTCCACGGTGCGAGGTTGTTGACAGGTCCGGAACCTTTCCCCAGCCCCGAACTACAAGCCCCCCGCGCCGCGTTTCCACATTCTCCTTGCCCGCCGCCCCCCCACGGCTTCCCGGACTCTGCGCTTGGCTGCCCTCCCCACACACGCGGCTGTTTGTTTTTGTTGGGTTTGTCAATGTTGTCTTTGTTTGGGAGACTGTGTCATCGCCTGGATGCCGGGAATAAAGTGCGACCCTGAGTGACCAAGTGTGTAACGTGTGTGGCCGGCCGGGGGTAAGGGCACGCCTCTGTGCTTGTGACAGGGAGAGACACTCGGGATCTTGGGCCCGCGAGAGGGTTCGCCCCTGTTTTTAGGGGCGCCAAAGGACGCTAACGACCTGTGTGTGTGTGTGAACACGCGTGTGTACCGGGTGGACGGGCTTTGAATATAGACTGTGAGAATCTGAGCATGAAGGGTGACAAACCACACGTTTCGTATATCTGGCATGTGCAGATACGTGTGATGGCGCGCAAGTGTAAAAGCCTTGGTGAGTACTACCGCAGCCGCGCGTGGGGAGCGTGTGAAACTTCGACGTGCGTATGCTAATGTGTGTGAAGAGGAATGGAAACGTGCACGGGCGAGCAGGGTATGTGGAGTGGGGGCAGGACTGTTTGCGCGGCGTCCCGGGGCAGGGCAGCTGGGTGTCCCAGTCATCGGGCCCCAGAACCTAGCTTAGCTGCACTCCCCCGCACCCTGTAAACGAACCCTCTGGAATTCTTTCTTGGGGGCACCCCTCCCCGCGGGGGGTCTACCGTCCTGTGCAGGGGCTGATTGCTGGGTGTCTGCCTCCCAGCTCGCGGAGTGGAGAGGGCGGGCAGGTGTTTGATTGGGCTGGAGCGAGAGGGTCCGGGGCGAGAGGGTCGAATGCTGTGTGCCTGGGTGTCCGGTGGCTTGTGTGTGAGATCGTGTGTTTGAGCGCGCGCTGCGTTGGTGTTGGACGGTGTGCGCCCCCCCCCCCCCCCCGGCCAGCTCTCCATGCGGCTTCGCAGCGCGAGAAGCCGCAGACTCCGGGACCCTGGCCAGCGCGGGCCCAGCTTCCCCAGTTCCCAGGCCGTTTCATCCTCCTCTTTTACGGCCAGGCCTGGAGACGGCCCCTGTAATTACGAGGGGCCGGGACGCCAGGACTAGTCAGGCGCTGACCCCGAGGGGAGGAGCCTGGGGCGGAGGCGGGCCCAGGCGGGCCTCCACCCCCGGGGCGTGAGTTGCTTGAAGTCTGACTCTCTGGGAGGACGGTAAATATTTACCCAGCGCCCACTGAGGTCTGGTCTGGCTTTGCGCACCGCCCCCTCCAGCCCCCTCCGGCCTCCACCCTCTGGCGCGCACCTGCCCCAGGCGACGTGCCCAGCCCGGCGTTTACCTGATTTACAACCTGCCCCTCCCGCCCCGGCCGAAGTCTACCCGCCGACGAGATCCGGGACAGATCACGCGCCCCCCGCCCCCCCGCACTAGATTATCCCATCCCTGCGCTGAGTCCCACTGAATCAAAACTCCATGAAGGCAGGGATATTGTGGTTCTGTGCTGTATTGCCAAAGCCTGGCACAGCTCGTAACACGCGTAGTAGCGGCCAATAAATGTTTGCCGAGTGGGTGACGTCACCGTGCAGTGGAGGCACGGGCTTCTGCCGACAAACTGCTCTGAAAAGAGACAGGAGAGCGGTTATGGGAGGGGGTTGGCGGTAGCAGCTCCAAACAGAGGGCGGCGCAGGGTTGCCCCCTGGAGGAGACGGTCTGGGACACACTCCCCCGTTTCTGTGGCTGCGGGGACTGCGGGGCGGGAACGTGTGGGGTCCCTGGGCTGCGCCGCTGGGGCCGGGCAGGTTCGGGCGAGCTCGGCCCAACCCGGCGGGGCCACGTCCGTTCCCGCCCTGCCGGCGTCTGGTGTTGGGGCAAGCCGGGTGGAGGAGAGGCGGGGGGGGGGGGCAGTTCGAGGCACGAAGACACCGAACCCTCCTCCGCCTGGGCGCTGTCCCCAACATTCTCACTTCAGGCTTTAATCTCATTATTTTTCTATGTCTATATATTTGTGTGTTTAGAGATCATTGTGTGTTTAGAGACCCTAAGGGTCGGGTGTTGTGATGAGCAACAAAGGTAAGGCTGCGTCTAAAAGAAAATTCCTGCCCTTGGGGAGCCTCCAGACCAGTAGGGGAAACAGACAACCACCATTTATTTATACAACAAACTTGCCTTGAAGTGTCGCAGCGCAGATTGCTGACCCACAATTTGCACACGCACTGCCCTGACACCCCAAGAGCCGCTGCGACGCCTGCTGGACAGAGGGGAGACTTGCAGGTACTGTACAGTCCAGACAGAGTCCACGCGGGAGAAAGCCGGCGCAGAGACCGACCTGCAGACCAACGCAGCCACGGTCCTGTCTCCTCCCCCACCCCAGCCCCCAGCTTGCCCAGGCGGGAATTGTCTCGGCTCTGGCATTGGGCTCTCACCGCAAACTTGTGCGCTTGTGAAGGCTCTCAATACTGCTGCCCCCCAGGCAAACATCTGTGCTTAGTCTGAGGTGTTTGTCTGTCTGTCTGCCTGTCTGGGAAATTCCCCTCGTGAGCCCTTTCTGTGAATTCCCGAGAGACAGGTTTAACCCTTTGAATGCCATGGGTGAGGCCCGACCAGAGGGAAGTGCTTGCCACCTGTGGGGGAACTGCCGGCCTGGAGGCGCCATTTCTAGTCTGGAACAGGCAGAGCTGCTTGCTTGATTGCTACTCTTTCTCTGAGCACCCTGTGGTTTGGGGTGGCAGAGGGCCACAGGGCTCTGGGGCACCTGCTAGCCCGGCCCAGCCCCTGATGGCATCTCTGGACAATGGATTGGGGGTGGGAAGCCTGAGCCTGGAGTAGCCTTTGTTCCACTCCCTCAATGTCATTCTGAAAAATAAAGTGTATGTTTTACCCTGGCTGGTGTGGCTCACTGGACTGAGTGCCCACGTGGGAACCAAAGGGTCGCTGGTTTGATTCCAGTCAGAGCAAATGCCTGGGTTGTGGGCCAGGTCCCCAGTAGGGGGCGTGTGAGAGAGGCAACCACACATTGATGTTTCTTTCCCTCTCTTTCTCCCTCCCTTCCCCTCTAACAATAAACAAATAAATAAAATCTTTTAAAAATTAAAAAAATTAAGGGTATGTTTTGTATGCTTCCCATTTTATTATTAATGTGTATTTCCCACTTTATTAATAATGTGTATAAAGTTGCAAAAGAGAGAACAGGAGAATAAAGGGGAGGAGGAGCCACCAGCCACTGTAAAGATTTTCATTTCTTCCCTGGCAGCTTTTGTTTATGAGATTTTGGGGGGAGCTAGGGGGTGGGAGTTGTATGCTTTTACATAGTGTGATAAATGTGTATTGTGTACTTCTTTTATTCCCCTTTATGACAGAGTATATTTTCCATGTTGCAAACTCTTCGTAAACAATATTTTTAATGGCAGCATAATGTTCCATTGAGTGTTTCAGTGTGCCATCATAGTGATGCAGGGTGGGTGCAAATAAACACACCCACATGCACACTCGGGCTCTTTTCAGTTGCTGAGCACTTTAGTTGACTGGTTCTTAGGACTTAGAAATAAACTTGAGGTTGACATTCATTCAGCAAATATTTCTGGAGTACCTACTCTGGACTGGACTCTGGATTGCACGTGGGGGCTTAGTGGAGGTCAGTAGGGGAGGGCTTGGCTTTCGCGAAGCTTGTGTTTTAGATGAAATCTGGGCATCTGCTTTTCTAGATTTTGGAGACTTTCACAGATACAGGAAAATGCTTTTGATATTATTTTTACTACTAACTAGTCTAATTCTTTATTTTTTATTTAAAAAATATTTTATTTGTTTTTAGAGAGAGAGGAAGGGAGGGAGAAAGAGAGGGAGAGAAACATCGATGTGCAAGAGATACGTTGATCAGTTGCCTCTTGCACACCCCCGACTGGGGACCTGGCCCATAACGCAGGTATGTGCCCTGACTGGGAATCAAACTGTCGACCTAGATGGCACTCAATCCACTGAGCCACACCAGCCAGGGCCAATACTTTATTTTTTTTAAGATTTTATTTATTTATTTTTAGAGAGAAGGGAGGGGAAGGAGAGAGACACGGAAAGAAACACTGATGTGAGAAACATTGATTGGGTGCCCCTTGTCCATTGGTTGCCTCTCCTACACATTCAGCCTGGGACCAAACCCACAACCCAGTCTTGTGCCCTGACCAGGAGTTGAACTGGTGACCTTTCACTTTGCAGAACACTGCCCAACAAACTGAGCCGCATGGGTCAGGGCTTGTTCAGTTCTTTTACTGAGGGCCAAAGTAACCATACCCTAGTGGATCTGTCCCCACCCACACATCCAGCCTATGAGGGGCCAGACTCCACGAGAAAAGGTGAAACTCTTCCCCTGGGAGCCCACTGCAGGGAAGAGGAGTCTGGGCGGGACGGAAGTGGGAGGTGGGAGGGGCAGTGGTACGGAGGGTGGAACTGTATTCCAGAAGGTGTTTTGTACTGCTGCCTCTTCCTCCAAAAGTTGACTATTTGCTCAAGTCAAACACTGTACTGGGAGGTACTGGGGACTCTGAAATATATCCTTGCCCTAAAGGAATCTAGTCTACTGGCAAATATATAATTAGAATATAAGATAAGAATTATAATAGAGGTGTAAGTGGAACAACAGGCTATGGGCTCACAGAGGGAGGAATGTTTGTGGTGAGGAGGGCTTCGCAGAAGAGGGGACATTTGAAACGAACGTTGGGGGATAAGTAGGCTTTCACATTCAAGGATTAGGAAACAAAGAACAAAGGTACAGGGGTGAGAGTCTGCGGTGAGTGCTCGATGCAGCTAAAATTAGAGAATAAGTCTGGAGGAGTGACGGGAGATGAGAGCAGAAGGCAGTGTGGGGGCCTTGTTGCCAAGGGTCTTGAATGCCACGCTTAGGATTTTGAACATTATTCTGTAGCCCACAGATATTTAAATAGGAAACAATCAGATCTATATTTTAGAAAAATCCCTATGGGTGATAGAATGTGGGTAGAGGAGGGAGCTCAGAGGTGGGAGGACTGGTTAGGCCTGAGCTACAGGAGTTTGGTGCGAGTGAGGAGGGCTGGAAGGCTGAGGAGTAGCAGAGGCAGGAGGGCAAAGGATAAACAGAGTTGGGTGAGCCATGGGCAAGAGGCAGTGAGGAGTGTGGGATGGTTTGGTGGGCAGAAGTGCCACTTACAGATAGGAAATGGAGGAGAGGAACAGACCTGGGAAGGAGGAATGAAGAGTGCTGTTTGGTCGTTGTATCAAATTGGAATGATTTGGTTGATCTCCAGGCTCGCGCTCAATCCACTGAGCCACACCAGCCAGGGCCTCAAATTGGAATGATTTGGGCTGTGGGTAACAATACCCAACTACTAGTAGTTTAAAGTATATATATTTATTTATAGAGAGAGGAGAAGGGAGGAAGAGAGGGAGAGAAACAGCATCGATTGGTTGCCTCTCACACGTGCCTCAACGGGCATCTGAACCTGTAACCCAGGCATGTGCCCCAACTGGGAATTGAATCAGCAACCTTTCAGTTCACAGGCCAACACTAAACCAACTGAACCACAGCAGCCAGGGCCCAACTACCAGCAGTTTAAACAAGAGATTTTATTCTTCCCATAACAAACTCCTGTGGAAGTGGGGCAGCGGCTCGTCCGTGCCATCAAAGACTCAGTGCTCTCCACCTCTTGGCTCTGTGCCATCTTGATGGTGGCTGAGGGACTCACAAGGAGAAAGGGCGGGAGCACGACGTCGTCTCCTCTTAAGAATAGTTTTATCTGATAAGAAAAAGAATTTTCTAGGAGCTTCCCAGCCGGTTTACCCTCAGGGGACAGAACTGACCCAGTGGCCATTCCAACACCCACGTCTGTGGAGGAGGGGAAGGGACTGGTTCTGCCAGGCGGGGGGGCTGGGTCTGCCTCCCCCAAATGGGATCTACTCTCTCCCCAAAGGACTGGTGTTTGGCAGCCTGGGAGCTGAGCAGTGCCTGCCACAGACCCATGGCATTTGAGGAGCCTGTGGAACTTCCAGGCAGAGCTGCTTGGGACCGTTGGAGATGAAGGTTCTGGAGCTCAGGAAGGTGGGAAGCAGGAAAATAGTCCCTTTGGGATGTCGTGATGAACCTCAGGGCTCACAGGGAGGGCTTCCTCTAGACTGCAAGCTCTGGGCATGGAAGGAGAATGTGGTGGTTGTAGGACCTTGGTTTTGACTGGGGAGAAGTCCCTCCTTCCCAGCTTGGTGAGGCTGAGGGTGGGCCAGAAGACATTCACTCTCAGTGCAGCTGATAAACCTCTTTCCTATCACTGGCTATACTTTCACTATAACATATGTTAAGAGCGGGAGTTTAGATCCTTTTATTTCAGAAGCATTCCTTTCATATAACTTTTTTTCTGATGACAGAAGAAATAAATGTATCCTAGTGCAGAAAACTAGGGGAAGCGCAAATGAGGACAAATAAATATCTCCCAGAAGCAAGCACACTTCTTGGTTCTTTCCCCAGGGCTCTGTAATTTTTTATGGTAAATATCTTTGAGAGGTTAGAGTTTAATGCCCATGTTACAGCCAGATCGGAATCCCTTACAGTTGTGTAACATTTTATGATCTCCCACGGCTTTCAGCTGCATATTTTATCACATACTCGTTCATCTTTATAGACTCCTAAACACTGTGCGGTGGGTGAAGGCGGGGATTATGCACACCCCCCCCCACACACTACGTGGGGAAGCCGAGGCTCAGAGAGGCGGTGGTGTTCCGAGCCCAGACAGTGCCTTCAGCTGGGCTGGGGCCACACTGTGTCTGTCAGTACTTCCACACCTTGCTGCCCAGTTGTGCTGGGTGTAAAGGAAAGACTTGGCTCAAAGTGCTGAATCGACTGTGGGCGTGGGAAGGGAGTGTGTATAGAGAGGGAAGGAGCAGCTCCTTCCAGCACCAGAGCCCATAGGTAGGAGAAGGGGAAGGGACAGGAACTGGGTGGGTCCGAGAGTGACTCGAGGGGGTTTGCGGGCAGGAATCTCCCATGCGATCCTCTGGGGAGGGCAGAGGCCCACTCCGGCCTGTCCCTGCAGACAGGAGATCTTCTATATGACTTATTCTCCACTTTCCACCAAACTTTCACTGGGGTCAGTTTGTCTGTGTGTCAGGCACTCCGCCAAGGCACCGCAGGGTGTCAGATAAGGCCTCCTACGAATGCAGAGAGAATGCGGAAGGGATGTGGGTTTGAGTCCCAGCTGTGGAAACCTGAGAAAGTTATATAACCTCTCTGAGCCTCCCCACCCCACCCCCCGCCTCCCCGCCTCCCCGGCCACTTTTTAATCTGTAAGATGGAGGCAGGATGACTTTCTTCATGGAATTGCTATAGGGATCCAATGAAAGGACAGCTGAGAGGGTCTGGTGCTAAGCCCGGGGAGGAGGCGTCAGCAAGCACCAGTGTGTGTTTCTCTTTATGTGGCCCAGTCCGTGCCCCCCCCCCCCACTCCCCTCGCCCCCTACCCGGGGCTGACTGGGAGTGGCTGTGCTGATATTGGGGGAGAGCCCGGAAGTCTCCAGGACACAGGAAAGGCAGGGAGGAGGAGCCCCGGGAACACGAATATTTATTCGAACAGGTAGTAACTGATAAATGCCCCAGCGACGTGGAAGTCAAGAGCTCCGAGGTCCCATGGGGGCAGATAAATGAGGGTTTCTCAGGCGGGGCTGGCCGTCAGGGGCGCTTTGTGTGCGGAGGAACGTGCGGCCACACTCAGGCCTGCAGGTGTGAAGTGAAGGAGGTGGGAGAAAATCTGCCCTCGGCCTCCCTTTTCCAAGTTCCCTACACCCCCCCCCCCCCCCCCCGCTCCAGACAGTTCCCTCCCTCATCCCATCAGCTCCCTCTCTGTCTCATGGCTGTTGTCAAAAGAACATCCACTTAAAAAAAAAAAAAAAAGTCTTATAAGAGCTTATTTGAGCCAAACTGACAATTGCCAGGAGACAAAATCTTAGTGGACTGAGAAAAGGCTTCAGAGGATGGCGGTCGTACAGTTTATTTTGTACATTAGAACCAAAGGAGGAGATGTGAGGAGGGCTGCATG